TTGTACTTTTATTGGGTGTTTTCCATTGTTACCCCACCCTATCCCCGAGTTGTGTTATGAAACTTATGATTTATACAAACTTAATCTTCACTACCCAAGGATGCTCCTGAAAATATATGACTAATTTTGGCTTGTTGTTCTTGAAAAGAATATTTTAAAGATTTTTCATACTTCTTCTTTAAACTTTGATCGTCAATACGGTCCACTTTTCTCGAGGGTCACTTCTGTGTTAGACTATGGCCCCAATCTACGCCAATGGTTATTTTTTTTAACCAGTTTGAATCTAAATGAACATATATGTATTGAAGTTTTCACAAAAGTTTCTGGAAACCGGTGGTTATTGAGAAGTGTTTAACGGAATAAAGTTTCACGAATTTTTATGTGTCTCTCATGAAATTTACGGACATACTTAATAACCATACGATTTGCCTTCGCTTGTGTTTTTTAACTCAGAATGTTGTGTTTTTCAAAACTCGATTTTCAGAGATACAGATTGTATTTCTTTTCCAGCTTTACATAAAATTTCAGCTCAGTTGAGCCTATGGCCCACAAGAAATGCACACAAAATTTTTATTTTTTTTAACCAATTTGAATCTAAATGAATATATATGTATTGAAGTTTTCACAAAAGTTTCATGTTTTTTACTCCTGTGGTTGTTGAGAAGTGTTTAAAGGATACCACCAGTTTCACGAATTTTTATGTGTAAGGCGCAACTCTTTAGTAAAACAAACTTTAATACCTTTCACTCAAGAAAACTTCAGAAAATTTGCTTAAAAATCGCTTGTGTTTTTTGATACCACGAATAGTGGAAAGCTTGCAGTCACCATACATATAACAAAAAGTCGACAGTCATAAAATTAAAACCGCTTTAGACAAACATTTTAAAATATTTCAATCTTTTCTAGAAAAATGTTAAATTTTATTTTTTAATAAATTAGAATTTCAGCTCAGTTGAGTATGTCCAGGCGGCGCAACCTCGAAACACAAGAAATCACACAAAATTTTTTTAAAGGATTTTATTAACTTAAAGGTTGAATTTTTCAGAAGAAATACATAATTCTATAGAATGAATGTAAAATTAATAAACTAATGATTAATCTGGCATAGAGGGACCTTTATTTTATTTTAATTTTGAATATTTCAATTTCAAAGTGGCTACAGGATAATATGTCAAGGAATGTCTTTTAATGTCAAAATAGATTCAGAGAGAAAAGGGATACACAGTTAATGTCAATTTGCAGTCAAGGTGTGAAATATTATTCACGTAAAAAAATGACGTTGATAATTGTGTTGTAGATATTGAACTCCTAAAAGCAAAATATGTTGACAATTAAGGGCTCCAATGTATTAATCCATTTGGAAAAACTTGAAGGCACTGCTCTTCATATAAACAAGGCGGGTTTAAGTCCGTCCTTCTCATCAAAAAAGTTATTATAAGAAGCGGACATTGAAAAAACAATGACGTTATCGGACGTCATGAAAATAAACGACGACAGCGCCGGGTGATCATATAATGTCGTTTTCATATTATAATAATTTGGCAAATAATGAACGTATCAGGCTAAAAATTTCAACATTTCTTTATTTTTTGTTGTTTTATATTAATATAAATTTTGAAAGCACAGTAAGTTAATTTTATAGCCTCACTTAAAAACTTTTTGATAAATAGCTTTAGGTCATCGTCACAATGCACGCTTTTTTCATCCACTCGTGTCATCGGCGCGGGAATGAAAACAAAATGCGACTTATGACTAAGATAAAATTATATTGACATATTTATATACATGTAAATAAATCTAAAAAAAAAAAACACTTAAACTTAAGCTAATCCCTTAAACCATACGTGAACACCTGGCAACTATGATTAACAGAAAAAAAGACAAACTCAGTTCTTTTTTATTATAAAATTTTGTTTTCATGGAGTACTAATTTGAAAGTCCTGTAAATTATTCAGTCTATAACAAAAGTATTCTTTTATATAATAATATAATTATTTTCCTCACAGAAGATTCCACAAAACCAACTACTGTATCATCTAGAAAAACATCAAACACTTTCAAAATTGTAAAATTAGGAGATTCTGGAGGCAATGGGAATGACGTCACGGAAGCCGTCTCAAGAGAAACCACTAGTGAGTCTAAAAAATGAATATTTAAATTGTAAGAAAAAAATAATGTTTCTATCTTTGAATATTATATCTTTCAAAGAAGTAAGCTACAAGTACACTACAGAAATTTTTACGCAAAATTGCAGCTCATACTAATTTTGTATTCGATCTTAATATTAAACTCGAAAAATAATGTTTTTGCCAATAGAAACCACAACAAGATTTCCGGTTCCGGTCGGTAAACCCGACGATACGATCGAAGACCACATTAACAATGGTGGAGATGGATCGCCAAACAGGGACCTTTTAGGTGAGGAAAGGCGACGTACATGAATTGTTGTTCTTTTTAGCATGAAAAAGATCCCTCGGTGCTCAATGGCCCTGAGTACCGAGTATAGAACAAAAGAAGCTCTCCACCGGCAAGTGGTAGCGTCTCTGTATGAGTGAAAAATTCTCGAGAGGGACATTAAACAACATGCAATCAATCAATCAATCTTTTTAAAAAAGTATTTTAAAAATAAGATCTGTAATCAACATCCTACAAGTAGTATGAATTTCATTGCAGTGCCAATAACAGTGGGAGGCGTCTCGTTTTTTGTGGCAGTTCTGGCACTGCTCCTGCTTATCGCTAAAAGAAAACATATGTAAGTACATTTATATCAACTGCATACTTTCAAGATTTTCAATAATATGCTGCGCTTTTGTGAACTGTATATCATTTGAGAAATGTGCTTGTCTAGATTATTTCACTTCGTCCTGGCTTGCAAATAGTTGTAAGTTCACGTTTGTTAAGTTTTTTTTTTGTTTGTTATGTGCGTTTGTTCTGCAAAGATAATCGTTCGTTTTGCATTCATATATGTTTGTTACGTACATGGTTGTTGGTTTTGCTTTAAAATTTATTTGTTCTGCGAAAAGGTCTGTTGATTATGCATTGTTTATCATTTGTTAAGTTTTTATGGTCATTGAAATTAAAATGTTTGTTTGTTTTCTCACTTTGGTAATTTTTGTCCTTTCCGCTGCCCATACCCACGCTACATGTACATCATCGGTGTCAGAGTAAGCACCTATATTCTGTATATACATACATGAAAATGAATCGAACTCGCATCGATGATGGATCAGGCATAGTAGAATGTAGCATACAGAAGAACATTCTTGCTTGGTGTTGACATGTCTAAAAGTTATTCGAGAGTCAGGAGCATGTTTATATGAATCCAAAGACTTTCTAAACAAAGATAGAGACAGTATTTTGTAATTTCTCTGGTCGAAATAATGTCCTTCTTGAAACCTATCATTGGGTCAATCATATTTTGGCTGATGTGTTTCATACCATTTATTAGTCTGTCTTCCACACTAAACATACTAAACTACGGAACGTTTTGTTTACTTGATCAAAACATAGGACCCCTTGGCATCTGATCCCATCTTTAAAATTTCCTGGGGTCTGTGTTTTATGCCCTGTTAAAAGGTTTGTACTGTTTGTAGATTTTTTTTCAGGATCGAACACAGTTCGTCATTATCATCTTCCTCATTCAATTACTGAGAGAGTATAACTGGGTAAAGGTTAATATCAAGTCTTTTTGTAATATCTGTATATTAAGCCAAAGGTTGTCCAAGCTAGCATGGATAATGCGTCTAGGAATGTATACTATCAGATTTGTTTCGTATGCTGGATCTGCATATGTTTTCCGAGAAAGACTGAATTACAAAGCTTTTGTGAGCAGTCCTATTTCATAGTGATTATTATCCCAACATGCTCCATTTTGCTGTAGGGTTACACACTACCAGAGCTGTTTTTTCGTGTCCTTGATATTTTTACATTATGAGTGACAATGCCACCAGGATAAATTTCATAAAACAAAACCACTTACAAGTAATTCAACTGCATATCAATAGTGATCAGCTTTGATGAATGTCTGTAGAGATGCATTCTACTAGACATGCTTTGGTGCTGGTGATCTGACCTATTTTCTCCGCATGGTTGAATACTTTTAAGTGATTTTTTTTCAAAATAAGGTCATATCTATATTCCTAGGCCTTTATGTAAAGCTTGTACTCTCTTACACATTTTGCATTATTTTTTAGAAGAAACCGCCAAACTCGCAGTGTGCAAAGCTCTCCTGACCTAGAACAAATTGATGAGGTTGCATCCACTACAACATCCGTGGAAGTGAGATATGGCCGTTCTAAATATCACCCGAGTAACATTCTCGTCCCATCCGAAGAGATCACTTATACTGCCATCGATGCCGTGGAGACAAACACCAATCACTCAGATAGTTCGAGGTCGGGAAGTTTAGATCACATGGACACGACTTTAAGAAGATTCTGCGATGGCAAACGTTTAGCTATGCATTTTGATGAGGATGGCTACGGAATCGTTGACGATGAGATTAAAGATGGATTTGACGATAAAAGATTTGACCTGAAGAGAACTCGCAATGGCGACTACGACCACCTGAGTTCTTTTAAAATAAAATGGCGGAAAGCCGATGAAGAAACAGACGCCTTGTATGACCACTGTCAGGCAGAGGTAATTCGGGAGAGTAAACAGGGAGTGGAGATTGACGACACGTATGATCATACATCTACTGTGCTTATAAACAAACTTAGAAAAAGTAACGACCAGTCTGCCTCAGCGTCTGATATTTACCATGACTGTATGTCTGAAAAAGTCACAAGCATTTGAATGGTGGGATAAAAGTCATTCTAACTGTGATAAGAAAACAAAATATGCAGGGGTATTTAAGACATTAATTGTGTACCAGAAAACCACTGCATGAACTCTTCAATGTACATATAACAGTCAACTTTTCATTTTCAGTCACGGATACCGTCCCGATAAAGTGATATTTTAAATCCAATTGATTCTCAAATGTTATGAAGTAATGTATGAAACAAGTAACATTACATCTGAATCATGAAACCTTTTTACGAGGGGTTATCAAAAAGTTCGTGGACTAGCGCCATAAAATTAAAACCGCTCAAGGTACATAAATGAATTTTGAAATATCTAGTTAGCATCATCTTTTCTATCCAAAGAATAAACCACAAATCATGAATTTTATTTTTTAATAAATTAGTAATGTTTTTCTAAGCAATGGTATGTCCAAGCGGCGCAACCTCGAAAACGAAGTTTTTTCGACATATGTGTAACTGAGAAAAACTCATTTGATGTGATTATTTGACATCCAAAAATCCCGTTAATTCGGTTATGTGTTGTGACACAATTATTCTATAAAATACTTAATTTTTCACTTAATTCTGAACGTTCTTTGAAATTTTATGAAATTTTACACGGAATATCTAAACAAATGAGGCCTTGAAAATGACGTATTTCCGTCCAACATTATATTATGTTTTGCCCCTGAAAAAAATAGTATAGACCTAAAATATGTTGAAACTGGCTACATAGAAGTAAAATGCATCCATAAAGTACTTGTCTTTTAATGTCAAAATAGATTCAGAGAGTAAAGGGATACACAGTTAATGTCGATTTGCAGTCAAGGTGTGAAAAATCAATCCCGTCAAAAATGAGTTAATCATGTGTTGTAGATACAACTCCCAAAAGCAAAATATGTGTGTCTCTCCCAATGTATTAATCCATTTGAAATATTATATTCATTGAAGGCCACTGTTCATGATATTGTAAAGTCATATAAACAAGACGGCTTTAAGTCCTTTCTCAGCTCCAGGGAATCTCAACAAAGTGTATGAGGTAGAAGAAGCGGACATTGCAAAACAATGACGTTGTCGGACGTCGTGAAAATAAAAGACAGCGCCAGGTGATCATATAATGTTATTTTTATTTTATAATGATTTGGCAAATAATGAATGCATCGAGCTAAAATTTTCAACATTTCTTGATTTTTTGTTGTTTTATGTTCCTTATAAATTTTGAGAGCACAGACTACATAGTACTAATTTTATAGCCTCAGTCCACGAACTTTTTGATAACCCCTCGTATATGGTATACCATTAGCTGAATTATATCAATGGATAGTTTAAACTGTGTCAAAGACAGCAGAAAAGGGACAAAGGTTCCTAGTTAAAATTTTAACACAACAGGATAGAATGTGTGTTATTTCAAAATCATAATATCGATACTGAGGATTATACACTGTGGAAAAGTTTAATGTACTTTTATCTTAGAAATGCCTATGAATTTCTTAAGTCTTGGAAGATCGAATTGACCACAATACAAATACTACATTTTGTATTAAATTGTGAAGAAGAGGCCCCGTAAATGATTCATTTAAATAATCTTTAATTTTTGAAGATAGAAAGATGCTTTATTAATTTGTGCTTTTATATTTATTTTCTATTTCAGAAAATCAAATAATTTATTTATTGATATTATACGAATCTTGAATGAAATATATATTAAATTTCTTAGTAAATATACAAACCTTATGCATATATATACATTATATTTTGAATCATATTTAAGATAATTTGTGAGAGTACATCTCTACAAAAATGTTTTTAGTTTTCACCTTTAGAAGCAAAAAAGGATGTAATTTTATTTTATACTTTTTATAATAAAATTTCATCCTTTCATTTTTTGCTCATTCTACAGTAATGGGTTAATTTCAATTTGCATGTGCAGCATTTTAAAGCTGGTGGATTTTCATTAGGATTAGAACATGCATTTGATGCTACTATGAATTGAACAGCATATCAACTATATGAAAACTACCATTGTACTTATGAAAAGTGTATTTCTTTGTTATTTAATATACATGTAATTTGGAATAACATTGTACGCATATTTCTTATACTACGCAATTACATTTTTATTGCGTCAAGGGTATTTACTTCTGTGGTTTGTCTACGTTAGTGAGTATGTATAATTATACTTCTAAAGGATATTACGAACTACAAACTTTTCACCATGAGAATGAATCACAAATATCTTCATGTAACGATTGTGTTAATCAATGTTAATAGGACATTTGACTGTCTTATGATTAAATCTAGAGATTGAATATTATCTCATGCTTGTAGGGCATAATTTTTATCCACTTTCTTAAGGGTCAAATGTCACATTTCTTGCAAATACAGCCAATTACATGCAAGTATAAGTAAACTTTTTTTGAGTATACGAAGAAAGAACATATGAATAACATTCTTAATTTGTTTGTTGTTTTTAAATAAAAATCGAAAGGAAACGAGAAAATGTTCATTGTGATAATTTTTTTCAATCAAAATATTATAAAAATACTATATGTTTACAGTGGTGGCACAGCTTGACCCGTATATCTCTTCCCCCCTCAAGATAGAAAAAGAACAACTCTTGAAATTAGTAGTGTTATCGATTTGAAACTTTCATACGTTGTATCATCATTATTCAGATAATTAGTTGAACTTTACAAAATAATGTCTGCAAAAGACCAAATGTCTTCTTTATTGAAGCGACTATTTTGTGAATACATTAAGTAAGTACCAACAAAGCATTTAGGTTTTTATAAATACATGTGTTAAAAAATTAATGATTCTCATGGAGAAGATGTCGACATGTGCAGATCCAAGATCAAACTGTCCAAGTGAAACTGTGTCCATTCTCTTGATCCTTTGACATGAAATTAAGCTTTAATACTGTACGTTTAACGATTTAAGGAAAATATATTTTCAGAAATTATTACATACTGTTAACTAGTGATAGACCTTGATTTTGAAGGTTTAAGGTGATATTTCAAGATATATTAAAGGCATTAATTCTAAACTACAATAAGCAAATAATGCGATAAATTATTAAAATCAAGTTAAATTGGTTTTAAAATGTCAGTATGGAACGCCATCACTGCCTTATAGCATACAACTATGCATTTATTATGTCAATTTATCATTACGTGATGTGAACATATCTTTACGTTATGTCCATTTTTTATGAGATGATGTAAATATATCTTAACATCATGTCAATGCTGCATTACATGAAGTAAATACATCCTTTCATTATGTCAGCACTTCATAACTTGAAGTAAAAAAATCATTATGTGAAGTGATAATGTGTTTACATTGTGTTAAAACTTTATTGCATGAAATGAATTTTTCTTTACATCATTTCATTTCTTTAATATGTGAGGTCAAAATTGCATTACGTCAAGTAAATTGTGTTTTATAATTAAACTTATCATTACATGAAGTCAAAAGCCCATTCCTTTTTGAAAGTGTATATTTCTATTTTATCAAAGCATTATTACGTGATATGGATTTATCTTTATTTTACGGCGAGGGCATCATGATGTGAGGTGAACACATCGTACCTTTATGTCAGTGCTTTATTACGTGGTGTAAAAAGGGTATAACATAATATGAACATATCTTTATATTACATTTTTATTTCATTTTGTCAAAACTCCATTCCGTGATGTGGATATATAATTACGTTATGTCAACTTTTTCTTATGTGATTGAAAAATATCTTTATATTGTGTTAACCCTTTATCATGTTGATTCCAAAAGTTCATTAGCTGATGTTAAAAAACATTTACATTGTCTCAAAGCTGTATATCTAGTACATAATGAATGTTGATGACCGTTTTTAATGACACTTATTAGACAAATTACAGGCACATAATATCAAATCATAACTTTACTAAGAAAATGTAATGTTCATTGTTTCCACTGATGTAATATATCTGGAAAAATATAGGACTGAGTTAAAAGTAGGATTTCCTTGACAAGTTTTTTCGGGTAAATGATTTTTTTTTCCTGATTTTCTTTCAAAAAAAGATGCTACGTCACTAAATTTTTTTTAATCATTCCAGGGCTAGGACCAGTTCATCTAAATCAATTGAATATGCCTTAGTAAGCATGCATGGGCACATATCAGTGGCAGATATGGGAATCTTGAAAAAGGAAGGGGGACGGTATATGTTGGAGACCAAGGGCGGAAAGCGGAGAATCTCTCAGGCTTTATAGTTTTCAACTTAATTCAGCTAAGCTTATTGTGAAACTAATGCAATGTCCTTCAAAGTTTAAGACTTTTCTTTAAAAAAAAATTCAAAATAAACAGAAAAAAAAATGATTGCTGCACGATATAATATTTGATTCAAGATTGTCAATATTTGTCGCTTAAAGTTTTCATTTAAAGATGTCATTCCCAAATCGCTGAGAATCTCTTCTAGGCTCTCCCGCCATTTTTAGTGCTTGCGGAACGCGGAAAATACGTTATGCTCATATAAAGGCCGAGTAACAGAACAATACAAATTTTTTCACATCAGTAATAAAAACTAAGATTCATGAAAAGTATATTTTATAATTGTAGGATGTGTTAATGTCATAAAGAGTTGACATAATGTAAAGGAAAGTTAACACGTGCAGTAATAGTGTGGGTTAATGTCATAAAGAGTACATAATGTAATGGAAGGTTGACACAATGGAATAGTAGTGTGGGTTAATGTCATAAAGAGTTGACATAATGTAATGGAAGGTTTGGAATAGTAGTGTGGGTTAATGTCATTTGAATTTTTTGTTTGTTCTGCTATAAGGCAGAAAATACATATTTGGCTTGCACCTAATATTAACTGCTCTCCATATGAGTGAACTATTCTCGAGACATTAAAACAACATACAACATTAACTGAAATTTACTGAAATAAATTAAATTTTTAAAATTACAACAGAAATTCATTTATCCCATTCATCAACCTCTAGAAACTTATCAATACAGTCAGAAATTAATACAATACTTATTAAAAGAGGAAATATATATATAGCACTGTTATATATCCAAAGAAATGACTAACATAACTAACTATAAAAAATATAATTTAAGGTCAGATGACATGTTCCTCAAAAATATATATAACTTTTCCCAAGAATTTGTCATTGAAAT